TTTATTTTCAAGCAGTTTATGGGACATCTTTTTCATGAACATCGCAATAAAATAAAAACATAACCGTTAAACTTAAAATAATGAAAAATTACTATTTTCTGTTATCAAATGCTCAATTGTTATATGATTATATTATATGCGATTTATCAAAAGCTACAAAAATTTACATCAATAATAAGGATATGATTTTACTAAATGCACATTTGTTAAATATAGCTGTAAAATTGAAAAATTAAACAGTAGCATAACATTTCAAAATAATTTCGTGATAAGAGAAATTTTAGAATCCTAAAAACCTGACACGAATTCTTTAGTAAAAAAAATATATCGATCAAATATTATATTTTATTTGTAAATCCTACAAAACAAAATCATTATTCCATTCTGAGTCATGTCACGATAAACAATGAAGCAAATACCTCGATCTTAGTTTAATTATGAACGTCATAAGATACAAAGATTCATTATTCCCACGCGAGCTTTAATCAATTTGCGATGCATAATGCATATTAAGAAAAAAGATTCTTCACGCTTTCATTGAAATTCACTAATTATATCGGAATAGAAACACTATCACTCTCACATCTCACATGATCTATTCAACGCTAATTATTATTGCTCATTATCGAAATCCCAGCAGATTATAATAATAGAAGACCATGAACTGATCGGAGAAATTAATAACAGTTGAGAAATTATTCACGAAGGAATTTTTTTTTAAATGATGTGAATTATAAATAAATGAATACTTATGGTCATATTGTTACAGCAAATTTTGAAATCACTGAAATATTGTTCTTTTGTTTAATTCTAGGGACACAGAGTATTAGATACACTATTGGTGTCAACTGCTTGTTTGAAAATAAAGCTTTCGCTTTTTACTAATAACTATTCAAAAAGATTTCTAATATATATCTTACAACCAAACTTATAATATGTAATTGTACTAATTATAGAGCACATTTTAGAATAAATACGGTGTATGTTTCAAAAGCGCGTGCCATTATTCCAAACTTTAATGAATTTATAAAATTTATAAATAATGAGGCCCATAATGTTTTACAATATTCTTTTAGACCATTTACTCTATTATCATACAAAGCTTTTAAATAAAGCATCATACAAAGCATAAATCATTTAAAGCATTTACCTTATCATCATACAGATTATCAAAATCGTGCTATAAGGCAAACTGCTGAAAATTTCCATATCTTTTAAAATTTTTAAAAGCTTTAAAATTTTTTGATTATTTTGAAAAAATAGATTTTTGAAAACTTTAAAATTTTTGAAAAAAATGTTTTTTTTAATTTGATTTTTTCACAAAATTTTTGGTATTTTTTTATCCAATGCTTAGCTGTTTTAGAGACAAAATGTCAAAGCACGTAAGCGCCGCGTTGCAGTCTAATTGTTAAACATTATAAATCTTGCTATGGAACTCAGAAATGTATACAAAATGTGCTTTTGTCAAATGATCATTTTTGACCGCCAAATGACATTTTTTTACATTTTTTATCAGATCTTCGAAACCGCTGCACCTGCCTTCCTAAAAATTTAATCAATTCTTTATTTCATCAATACAAGTAAAATATTTTTTGAATTATTCACATCGGACGCTTGGGTCTCCCAAAAACGGTTGATAGGTCTGGTCTCCAAAACGTCGGCGAAAAAATGAATCGACACTTGCATACATACATACACACACACACATCCATTTTTTCTAAGGTAAGCCAAAATGTTCAGAAACTTTTGATACGTAAAGATATATAAAAATTTTCATTTTCGATTTTTTTTGCGATTACTATAACTTGCGCTACGGGAAATATTATGGAGGAAACATCCTTCCGTTCTTTACCACAAATTTAACTGCACGGTTCCCAACTGATGTCTTAAAGTGTTTTAGAATTTTCAAAATTAGACGTGGACTAAAATTTTTGTACTTTCTTGTTAATTCTAAAGAAACGCCTCGGCTGATCGTCTTGCAAAACGAATCAATACAAGCGTTTAAAGAGTTTCATCAAATCACTTTTAAATTTTTGAAATTAGTGTAACTGTATCTTGAAAAAACGTCAACGAATGGTTAAAAATATGCTCTCTATTTTTCTATGCTCTAAATTTCGATCTCAAACGATTAAAAATGACTTGAAATGTCTAGAAAATAAACTAGGATAACGTATTTTTTGGCAAAAACAGAAATTTCTCCTTGCTTAATGAACTTAGATAAATCTGGTGAGGGGGCGTTTATTAATCACGTGAGGTTTTTAGGAGGAGGGAGGTTTGGCAAAAATGACAAAATATCACGTGGGGATGAAAGCGGTATCACGTGTATTTATTTTTTACCTGAAGTTACGTCAAAAAAATTCAAAAATGTTACAATTCTTTCTCGTAACTAAAAATACACGTTATATTTAGTGAGAGAGGAAGGTAATTTCGAATATCACCACGTATCACCAAGGAAGGGAGAGGGTCCAAAAATCCTTCAAAAATCGATCACGTTATTCATGGATGCCCCGCTGCATTAAATGCTAATAACTATTACATGTAAGGAAGCGCTTATTTTGCGGTCACCAAACTATGTCTATTTATATTAATAAATGAAGCTAAAGCTAGAAATTAAAATTAAAATTTTATAAACATTTTCTTTGTGTTAATGGTTTCTTGTCATTCTGCATCAATAAGTATTCGAAAACCTCACTCGTGATAGTTTAAGTTAAATGATATTGAAGCACATGCTTTAGAAAATAGAACGTAAAAATTGACTTTTACGTCAATATCTATCTATAGATATTACATCGTTCAAAATGGAACTTTGTCTATTAATAAATCATTATATGGTATGTGTCTATCAATATATATATATATATATATATATATATATATATATATATATATATATATATATATATACGAGGTCTGTTCAAAAAGTACCCGGAATTTTCGTTTTTTCAAAAAAATATTTATTTATTCGTCTACATTAATGTGGTCCCCTTCAAAGTAGTCCCCCCCAGATATAATACACTTATGCCAGCGTTTTTTCCAATTTTCGAAGCACCCTTGATATTCACTTTTTGATATGTCCTTGAGCACTCTCAGCGATTTTCTTCAATCGAGGAAAACCGCCGTCCTTTCATGGGTCTCTTCAACTTTGGGAATAGGAAAAAGTCACACGGAGCCATATCTGGTGAATTTTTGCACTTTGCAACACTTTATTTCATTTTTTACGCAAAATTTAATACAAATTCTTTGACTTTTCAATTCTTCCATTGTAAAAATCGCCGAGCTCAGAAAAACACGTCGAACCTTAGCGACTACCACAGACAAAGTAAACAGTGAATATAGCTGAAAATTTCATCATACTTTAGGGGCATGTATACCAACACAATAAAAAAAAAAATTTGACAATCAGACACTCCAGACCCGCGAAATTTAATTATTAGTAATTCCGGGTACTTTTTGAACACACCTCGTATATATATTAGGATTTTTGCAGTTATTATAGTAAAACGATGTTTATTATTATAACTTTAAAATAATACTTGCGACAGCGGACAGCTCTTAATATTAATGGGTAATACATTGAATTCATCGCTTTATTACGTGACATTATTAAACAGAACTGCAAAGTTAGTTATTATCTTCATTTGAAAACAAAGTTTGATTCATAAAATATAAATCAACAAATATATAAGTGATGTTTTTGTTTATTGGTTTCGGTACATATAATATGATTTACTGTACTCAAGAAGCAATAGAGATGGATGACTTGAACAAGAAGAGCGATTGTTTAAAACAATTGGGCATCATTGTTATTGATTAAACATTTGAACAGACTATTACCTTATTCTATGAATTTGATATAAGACGTTTTGATAACGATTTCATATTATAAATTTTTATATATATATATATATATATATATATATATATATATATATATATATATATATATATTTATTATCTTCGAAGTAATCCAATGAATTTTGAATTATCGTCAGTTTAGAGTAGACAAAATTAAAGATGTTATTTTTTGAACGAGTTCTAATATTCTTTAACTATAATGCTAAAAAAAATCCCCAATATTATTCTGCTACATTTGTAATAATTTTTTGCTAACGAACAAACTGAAAATATAGTGTTTTAAAGAAACAATCTGTACTTGTTAAGTACGGAAAACTAACAAAAAAAAACTCTCTCACAAAAACAAAAAATTGTGTTTTAGAGAAACAATCTATACTTGTTTACTATGGCTAACTAACATTTCAATTATCTCACAAGGACACAAATTTTAGAAAATACAAAAATTGCTCTTGTTTGGTTCGATGTACAATTTTTCTATTTGCTACCAAGGTGTAATTTTAATTTCTTTCGTCTGGATAATTTTGCACTTTTAAACTTTTATGGAAAGCTATTTATATCTTTTTTTAAAACTATAATAAAAATAAATCACAATTAAATAAAAATTGAGTTAATACATTATATTGTTTCAAATCATCTTGGCATATCTTAGAAAAAATGTATGGGTGTGTGTATATATGTGTGCATACAGTTTTTGCCCACATTTTTCACGAGAATCGGTTCGTATTGACGATTAGTCATTTCGGAGATAGGGAGCAAAATATACAAAAAAATAGCACTAATTAAGGAAACGGATTATCTAATTAGAAAAAAACATTATGCTTGTGAGAGTGTGAAAATATGATTAGTTTTTGGGGGACGCTAAAAAAATTATTTCCAATTTTTTTTGTAATATATAAAATTATTTGGATTTCAATTCTAATTCAGGCTAAAAACATTAAAATTCCTCGACTATTTCATTACAGTACTGGAAGTTCCAGCAACTTGCCTTTAGACGCGATTCCATACACCACTAGTCACAGTTTAATTTTACAGTTACTTTGCGGTGCTTGCGTGGCGACCAAACGAGTAACAGACGATGAGGCTTCAAGAGGTTTTCTCCTGCGCCAAAAATTATCACGAGAATGGTCCCTGCTGAATAATATAACATGGAGCCAAGCAGGATCATCTCTGGCCGACGCAGTATATGGAGGATATGTCATTATCACCGCGGGACTACTTTTCGGAAGAATATTTTCCGGTAGTAGCGCTTCGAGAGCGGGCAGTGTTGCGGAAAAGTTTTTGTTAGGAATCGGCGCCGTGTTATTTATTATATTAGGTGATTAAATTAAAAACAAACTCGTTTTTAATGAAAGCATGAATGCATTACTTTTCGGTATTGTAATTTTATAATTTACCGTAAGCAAATACTCCTAAATATTTATAATTGATGCCAAAAATTATTTTCATAGTAATAGTTGGTGCGTGGCAGTGTTAATCTTTTTGATTTGATTCGGTTTTTCATTAGAAATGATATTAATAAATGGTACACAAATTATTTTTAAACTTTTTTGGAAGTCAGCATCAATATTTAAATATCATAGAGATTAAATTATAGCTGTTTTTTCGAAAAATTGAGAAGGTTTATTAAATTTTTCAACAACTAAAAAAATAATCGAAAATTTTCTTCAGTTCATAGCAAACTGCCTATGATTCAATATGAGTTGCAAGCCTGGACGCACGAACAAATTATTTCATTAATTATGCGTTAAATAAATAATACTTGAAAAATAGATCCCTAACTTTTGCGTTATTTTATTTCACCTTTTTTTCAACAAGCTATGAGTTTTTTTGTGAAACATTTAGCTTGTATTTTTGTGATAAAAACAATATGAGTGCATTTGCAATATTATATGTGCCAAATTGGCAAAGCCAAAACTTTATTTAAGAGACTATGCTGTTACATTATATTTTATTATCTTTTATGGGTTTATTTATTTTTATGGTTCTAGGTGCTTTAGAATTGGCTTCGCTCGACTCAATACCAGAAAATCTTTTAGACAACGCAGCAATTTTAGGATGTTTATCATTATTAGTTGCTGCATTATTTATCGTAGACGCTGCACGGAAAAGTTCCGGACTCAAAGTATCAGGTAATAATTCTAACCAATAGTGTTTTCTTTTCTCGACTTTGTATACAGATTGAATCATTTCCACAAAATTTAAGCAAACACAAATCAGCAAAGTAATTTTGCCACATTGTAGAAAGACAAACAAGTTTATGCAGTTGAATTTGTTTCTTTTTTCAGACAGAGTAAATTATGAATGTAATTTATAATAATAGAACAATTAGACAGATCTGCAAAAAAGTTGGCTGTGCTGGGTGTGCGACATGTTATCCAACGTAACCACGGGTTTAAAGCCAAAATAAGATATATAAAAAAATATTTTCTGGTTCTTTTATCTATAAATGATCTATGCAATGGATTTCTGCAAAGCATTTGTCATCTCTGTTAAGTATCGAACATATTTTCTTTACTTTATTAAATTATCAAGAGGTAATGGGGAGTAAATATGTTTGCAAATTACTGAGGGTATTTAGAGATTTTGTACTTGTTTTTTTCACTTTTCTCCGTTTTGTTTTTGCAGTTAGACCCCCAATTTTGACTTTAGATTAGTGGTAAACAGTAAAAATACATTGGAAAACAAATGTCGCACACCCACAACAGACAATTTTTTGTGGACCTGTGTAATTATTTGTATATTAGGTTTTATAAGCAAAGATGATCGTAAGCTTATAATTATTTTTATTAAATCAATGTAATATCCGCAAGGTTCACAGACAGAACCCGCGAGCGGATACGCTAGATTCGACGACGTCACGGACGGTGTGGCTCAATTTACGAAATTTGGTTCCATTAGAGATGAGTCAATGCAAGAAAAGGAGAAAACAAATTTACAACGGGAATACCAAGAGCAACAACTAGAAACCCAACAACAGCAGCACCCATCGCAATACCAGCCCCACATGGTTGCTGTTCTGCCGAGAGAACCAGCCCCGCAAAGGTCAGAACTCTAAGAGTTCATCTATTTTTTTGACTATTCTTACTTTTTATCCAATATTTCTCTTTTATTCTCGGATAATTATAAATCAAATCAAACTTGCTGCGATGGTAACTAAAAAACAGCATCAACATTACTTATATTGAAAGATCACTTTATCAATTCATAAATGATAATTATCTGAACAATATTACATATGAACAAAAACAGCAATCTATGGAATATTTTTTTATCTAATTTGTAATCTATGTATTAATTTTCTAATTTATTACTTTTGATTTTCTTTTATTTAAATAGGTTAGAACAAGTAACCAGCGTCATTTTACCAACTAAACAGAGCCCCGTCTTCTCTCGAGTGACTTCTGGAGACAGGGCTGTAATCACCAGACAGGGAGACTGTCATGAATCAGAAATAACTCCAACCAGCCCCGGATTTGTCCAACAAGCTGCTAGACAATGGGAACGAGCGGCAAAGACCAAAAGCAAAATGCCAGGAACAATCACGCAATGCTGATAAAAACTTCGAGAAAAAATCCAGTCTCATACATATCGAATCCAAAGACTATTAAGGGTATATTGTCAATGAAGATTGAAGCAAATATAGTAAGAAACAATAATTATAGTGAGTTCTCTAGATAAAATGTTTCTTAATAATTCTTTTTTAATAATTTATATAAATCTAATAAAACGTAACAAAGAATCTAGATTTAAATGATGTTTTATATTATGAAGAAGTGAATAAGATAAAATTGTACATTTTTGAGTATTTAGATATTTAGAAAAAAATAATAAAAATAGAATAAAAAATAATTGTAATGTAATACGTATGAATTCGCCAGTTCATGGAGTTTTTTGACAATGTAAATAATATACATTTCAAAATCGATAATTTGATATGATAGATCGTACTTGGCGACTCGAACCATATTCATATAATATACCATCATAGAAACTTCGCTAAACAAGCACCTCTCATAACAAGTCATTCTCAGAATATGCAAAAAGGTTTCTTAGCACTTTATATACGTGCATTATATACAATTTGTATAATATTTTTATTGTACTTATTATTACTTATCACCAAAAAATTAACCCTATTAATTATTAACCGTCTAAAATACTTATATTAAAATAATAACTGAGTTGGCCCAATCAATCTGTACAAGTATCCATAAACAAAGCCAATATTAATTTTAGACAATATTGTAGATATTAACTCAATATCATAAAAATTATAGTAAAAAATAGATTAAAAACGGCGATTAATTACTTAGTTCATTATTAGTGCACAATTGGTTTTCTAAAATAACGAATATTGATTTTGAAATTTAGTATTGTTTAATTAAATTTGTAAGTCATAAGTTAACTATTTTTTATAAAAGGTATTGCGCTTTCTGTAGTATTTAGCTATTTGACAAAAGAGTACTTAATAAAATGTATAAATAATACTATCAAAAAATTATTTATGAAGTTCAGAAAATTATGAAAACTATTAATAATGTTAACGAATATATACAAATATGTCCATTACACAATTACAACATATTTATCAGTCTATATATAGTATATCCATATAAGAGGAATCTTGTTAAAAAGTCATTTAACTAAATTTATTAATATAATATATAAAAAATAATATATTACTAAACATGAATAAATGCGAATTATTATTTTGGAAAATCAATTCCATTTGAATAATCTAAATTTTCAGCTTGTTGGTGATATGCGCCACCATTGCTGCATCAGGTAATGATAGATGAGGATTTCGAAACTCCCATCTCTTCGAAATATGACTCCAAGCTCTTTCTCGCGTTAAGCCAAGTGGTGTGTCGAGCAAAACCGACCAGTCCGGCTGCCAACTTCCCATCAGCATCTTTATTATTACATAATAAACTTTACAAACTTGAATTGGAAGTTCAATTAGAACTTTATGATAAAATTCGTTTGACAAATAATTTTACCATTCGCCAAAAAAAGAAATAGTTAAAAAAATAATTAAACAATAACAGCAAAAATATTCAGTACTAGAAACTACGGCAACTAAGCAATACAAATTTACGAACCGTGATAGTTGTGAACGATAAGATACTACTTGCAAGTAGTATCAGTAGTTAATCTAAATAGAGAAGCCAAACAATAAGATGCGTTTTCCTTTACCAAAAAAATCTGTGAACATTATAGCCAAGTAACCCCTAAGTCGACCTCTAGAACGCCATGATCAACGCTAATCAACTGCTTTTCAATAATATACTATTATAGAATAATACCTATGCAAGTTGTGCTTTAAGTTAAATAAGAGAGTATTGATTGTGCAAGGTGAGGGCTATTTATTTTCGCAGTTGTGCTAATTTAACAATTTTTATAAAAAGCTAGTCCATCTACAGAGCAACAAAATAATAAGTATGGCGGAACTTATTAGGGGGCACAACTAGTGTAAAATTTTCAAAAAATCGAATTTTCAATTTTTCCATATTTCGATAGGCTATACCTTTAAAAATAACATACCAAAATTTTAAATTGATATCTTAAATAGTTTTTGAGTCACAGCCATTTAAAGAGTATATATAGTATACTCGTATACTATACGAGGTCTGTTCAAAAAGTACCCGGAATTTTCGTTTTTTCAAAAAAATATTTATTTATTCGTCTACATTAATGTGTTAAATTAAATGTTCTTTATACTATATACTATATAGTATAAAGAACATTTAATTTTTAAACGCGTTTTTCTCGAAACAGCATTTTCCGAATTTGCTGCAGTGATTACTCAAAAACAAATGATCCGATCACTATCAATTTTTTTTACATGTTCTATATATAGTTCTCCGTAAAATGAAGAATCGAATTTTGGCAGTCGATTAAGAAATTCGAATTAAGAAATCGAATCTTAACAAGAATTTTTTTTTTAATTTCATCCACGTAGAAGGCCGGAATCACTGCCGCAGTGAAGTGCCTTTTTTTGTCGCGTCGTTGGAGATCGACGATAACTTAAAAAATATTTAATTTTTTTCTTCAAAAATTTTACTATGCATTCTTAATACATGTATAAATATATTCCTGAAATTTTGAAATGATTGATAAAGTAGTTTTTTTAATATAAATTCCCAAAAATCACCTTTTTTTTAGGCGGTTACACTAGTTGTGCCCCTTAATTACGGAAAAATAAAACAGAAAAGCATTTAAAAAATAGTGATTTACCTGATCGAAGGGTCTGTGGCGAATATAAAACATGGTTTCCAGAAGTTTAGTTCTTGGAGGAGTCGTCAATTGCCCAGGAAAATTTTCAAAATCGTTAACAGGAACTTCACTAACCCCTAACTTTTGCAGTATCCAAACAGAATTACAAGTTACATAATCGTGCAAAATCTGACAAAGAAATAAAAATTTGTTAATTAATGTACAGAGCTAAGTAGTTAAAAATATTGGATCTATATAAAATAAATTTTCATACTATCAACTATGAACTTGGTAAATAATTTTAATACTATGCTTAAATTACCTTAACACACTTTTTCCCATAAAATGTCATGAGTACATCGCTGACAGACATTTCTGGAGCATAATTTGTATATTCTATACCCAAATCCTTGCAAGCTTGATTGATTGCTGAATTGGCACTTTTATTCTCTTCATCCTCAATCTGAAAATTAAAATTTTTATGATAATTACTTAAACTGAATATAACATATTTTAATATCTTTGAAACCTATTTATACAATAAAAAATATTGCTTCAGTTAAGCACTTACATTTAATGTGGTACCGAAACTTAACATAAAATTATCCATTTGTGCAATATCTCCGTCTAAATTTCCAACCATGTCCTCCACACCAGCGTCCTGAACACGAGATACAAATTCTGCCATTTGCTGAGCATGCTTATCGTCTTCATCGATATAACATAATGCCTCCGCCAATTGATCACGGATATTTAGAAGAATTTTACCATCTATTGGAACTTGACCAGGAATCATAAGTTGTTTTTCAGACGAGTTTATCAATTCCGTGTATAAGGCAGACAATAACAACTGAAGAAATATTGATTGTCCCATAGGGTGTATGTTGGCTGGTAAGAGTTCCGTCAAAAAGTTCGATAATGTTAGTACTGAGGATGGTAAGCAAATCAGCAACTCCGTGAAATAGGTTAAAGCTTGTGACATAGCCTGTATATGTGTGCATAGTTATTATTTATTTTTATTGGTTAATATTAATTTTAAATATTAGTTAATATTGGTTAAAATTAATAGCAACTGATTAATTAGTTGTAATTTACAACTATATACATTAAGAAATAAAAATAAAGTATTACATTCGAGTAACAGAATCATGACAAAACTTCGAGAAAGTAATCGTATTGTGAACAAAATATGTATTTTTAAGTCCGAATAGAAATCACTAAGCTTTCAGCATAAATTTAGTAGTAGGTCTAAATTTTGAAATAGGAAATTGCAAAAATAAGTAACTTGAGAAATACCGTTATAGATTTAGGAACATGCATAATTGCTTAACTATTTATATAACATACTTGATACATACTGGACCCATTATGTACATAAGCACACAATGATTGAACGATTGGCTGTATTATAGGATATATTAAATTCAATGTTGCCTCCAGCCACGGTGGCCTTCTTTGATTCCACATCTAAAAAAAAATCATTGGTTGTAGACCCCTTTGTCTATTAATACAAATGATTTTTTTCGAATTATAGATTTTTTACTTGAGTTTTATCCAAACAGTCCGCCCATGTTTTATCCCTGCATTTGTCCAGCGCTGATACAATGGTGTGTTGAAGATCGCAAGGTCTGCCAGTTATCAAGAGTACATAAATGAGACTGGCTACGACGGCACAATTATTTGCTCCTATAGGATCTTGAATGCCTGATCTGCATTATAATAAAAAAAATGAAGTTCATGAGTTTGGTTTGTTTAAAGTTTAATAAATCGTTTAAATTATATTAAATAAGTAATGGTGTATATTAAATAACTGTAGCAATCTATAGTTCAGTTAGAAACCATTATATGAAACCAATAATATTAGAAACTTAGATTACAAAATGTTTTAATAAAATTAATCATAAAGTCGCTTCAAATATTATTCAAATAACTAAAACAAGTTTATTTAGAGTTAAATTATTTTATGCATAACAAATATAACCGTGTGCAGATTTTTTATCTATAAAATTTTTGAACATTAAAAAATTATTTGTAAGTAATTTTATTTTGCTGATCATCAGTTTTGTGCGCTGAAACATATCAAACATCAAACTTCGTTTTAAATGAATACGGATCTTCTAAATCTAAACCATGACCAAAGCTACGTTGAAAACTAACTCTGGTAAGTATAATCGGTGAATATGATCCATAGTACGGAACCAAATTGAACGGATGTAAAAAATATAACGGATATTTTTGTTTTTTTTTTCTGAACATTTATTGAATGTTTCAAACATCGCGGTACCCCAAAATCATAAAAAAGATGTGTATTATGCGTGTGCTCTATATTTTACCTTA